ATCCCAGATGTGATTGCAAAATAGTTACCATTTCTGTAATTACCACCTCAGGAAACATAGGTGTACAAACTTTCAAGACAATCCGTTCCAAGATGCTCCAGATATTTAAAAAAATCGAAAATATTTTTTCAACTTTAACACCCTGTAGATCGAAAAGGAGCAACATTCGGATAAGGCATATTTGGCTTAATCGCTCTATTTTGAGGTCAGCAACATGCCTTTAAGCTCTGTCCCATTATTAATGAATCACCCTGTATTTAAAAAATTAAATTTGACCTTAAAATGGCCTTGAAGGTGAAGGTCAAGATCAAGGTCAAGTCCAAGGTCACCATCTGATGTCTCCTTCCGAACTCAGTTGTTTCAGTTATCATAGATGTCGCACCAGCAACGAAATCACATTCATCTCGTCCTCATAATTGCTGTTAATTTTAAATTGGTACAAGCCCGTCCTGAGTCCGGCCCTGCCCGTTCCTTCCACGCACACTTTCCGCAGCCCTCATTCCACTTTCGATTAACCGAACTTTCGACAATAGAGGCTAATTACCACGATCAAGCGTATATCATGTCTGTTGGCGAAGTTCTAGGTGTAATATTATGGAACCGCGCGATTTTGCTTAATGCGTATCCATCAACATGGGAATGGAAGTTCCAGCACAACAGCGCGCTTTGTTGGTAGGCACGGCATCGGGTCTAATTCGATGAATAATTCTGAATAATTAATGGCGGCTTTCTGTATTTATTTAGGTTGCCGGATCGATTTTTTTTGTTCTACACCATCACCATTAATAATAGAGATAAAAATATAACAATTTGATGTTTACCCTCTGTAATTACCGTGGAAGAAATTCATAATAAAGGTTTTAATATATTAAGTTTCTGAAACAATGTAAACAAACGGTGGAAATATTAGGCAACCAGATATACTATCCGCGTAGGTCCAAAATTAATCGAATTGCAGTTGGCTTTGAAGTACTTTTAGTTGCGATTATACCCGGTTGTTCTATTGTCTCTGTAATAATTATATTTCCATTTATTTTTATCACGTTTTCTGCGACACTTTGTCACTTCTCTGCCCGATAGCGTTTGTTCGCTTGTCCTAACTTTAGGGATGATGATAAATGCAGTTGCGTCAACGGATGGAAACGGCGTTTTAATTAATTAAAGATAAATTTTAGTAAATAAATGCTACCGAAGAGCCCGTGCGATGTTAGTGTTTACTTGGTGGATTTTGAATTTATGTTGCTAATATGAGTATTATAATTATAGCATTAGAAAAAGGATTTCTTAACATTGTATTTTACCACCAGTTAAATTACAATAAATTTTAGGGACAATGATAAGCAAAGGAGTCGTGCCTAATGAGAGTTTGAAGAGCGCACTGTGATCAATAGGATCTAGGTCACGATTGTAAGGAGACTGTTAACTTTTTCGACGTTTATTTCAATACCTGAAGATTTTAGTAAATGAATTTAACGTAACTTTTACCTAGAACTATTATTTTCACCCTTTTCTTCTCGGTATGGCACGAACATCCAATTGGATTAATTATTTAATTAAATAAAATTCATTTCGTTTAAAGAGAAACAATTGACGATGCTTTAATAGAACAAAAAATTGATAAAAAAATTATTAAACACAGATCCAAACAGTAAATCAAAACGAAATTGATTTTTTTGTTTAATAAAACAAAATTTAAATTTTTGATGTAAGTTCTTAATGAAACTTTAAAGTCTTCAAAGTTGGATTGTTTGGTTCATTAGCATGAACCAGTTGTTAAGGCCAGTCGCGTGCTCCAATGTTACTTGTTTTCAGCAGGAAGAAGAAGAAGAAGGAAGAGAAGAAGAAGACAATACACTTGAAGTTCCATTAGATAATTATCAATCAGACGAATAGTTTTCCCCAATTACTCATAATTCACACCGCTTTCATCATTTCCAATAGTAGGTACCATTTTTTATTTAAAAATTAATTAAATTAAACAGGATCACAATAGATCGTTGTATAGGTCTACCGGGGAAACCACGTTAAAAAAACGCGCTAGGTACACTACCTCACAGATGACGTGTGCATATTTTGGAGAACACAATTTTTTCAACTTTTTGAATCGCTATATCTCAGAAATGGTGACTCTTAGCAAAATAGTGTAAGAACAATTTTTATAGATAATTGCATGATCTATCTAATTTTTGTCTGACTTATTTTTATGATAAAACTTACCGTTTGGCTGAAAAATACAAAAAACCCATATTTGCGAACTTTCACCTTGAATAATTTTTTTTCCAGATTGATCCAGTGGGATTGATGAGGACTTTTCACATTTTATTTATAATGGTGTTCCCAACATTCATACCAATTTTCAGCTGTATGCGAATTATTGGAAGCTTACCCCTATTTTTTGAGCTACTTTGATCGGGTTAGTCTTGAATTTCCGACCATTTATTTCTGAAGTCTTAAAAAATCCCACTTCTGATATTTGATCTAAATTACCATTATAAACAAGGTGATTAAATTTTTGAAGTTTTATTTTCAGAACTGAAATTTTAGCAAATGAAGCAACATTATATCATTATAATACCATTTAAGTTAACTTTCCCTTTTACTATATGAAGAAATGAACAAATCGATTACATTTTGGACAACACTGATTGAATATGCTTTAGCCGGACAGAATATTTGATAAAAATGACATTTAAATAAAGATTCAAACAGTAAATCAGAACGAAATCCCGCTTCTGATTTCTTATTTAAGAAAATAAGGTTTTAAATTTCTGGACCGTGCAACGTGAATATAAAAAAAATCCTCGACGTCCTAAAATTTCTTGACGTCTTAGAAGTTCATCTCTCTTCTAATGTTCTTCAAAAATCTCCCTTACATAGTGAGTTAGGTTGAGTTAAGACTACTTTTTTGCGTATTTTTCATAGCTAAATTTTAGCAAATGAAGTAAATACCATTTAATGTTAACTTACTTTTACTACACTACACAAAAAATGAACTATTTTCGAGAGAATAAGCGACTGGCGACTGTTTCAGCAAAACAAAAAATTGATCAATTGGAAACAAATTAGAATAAATTTTGGCTTCTAATTATAATTTAAAAATACAAATTTCTAAATTTCTGAAAATATGTAAAGTCCAATTAATCTGTCACGGCCTAATGTTAAATTTACAAAAAATACCCGCTGGAAATAAAAAATATGGTGATGTAGGAAAAAAAATTCTAAGATGGTGTATTACCTCAGGCGCATAACGGCAAGTTGGAATTTCAAAATTTTCACATTGGGATGCATCACAATGTAAACAATTGTACATTAAAAAAAAATCACAATCACAGATTTTATTTTTGTAATCGCTGACGCAGTTACATATTTTTTAAATATTTCCTCTGGTATTAACGGTTCCACAGTATACACTGGTATGAGCAAATTTTTCATCAGTTTCCATCACCACGACATAGTTACGTCATTGCCGTTTCCTAACAATCGAAAAGATGTTGCTTGGCTGCTTTTTCAGTAGGAGGTACATTCTCTAATTTTGAAAGTGAGAGCGCTTTTGAACGTGCAAATTCAGTTTTCGGAGCGCCCGAGTAGGGTTTTCCCCACAGTTAGCTCGCGCCGCGCTCGAATATGCTTCGGTTTGACGCACCATTAAAAATGCAGAAGTGGCTAAAATGAACCACAGTATTTTTTTATTGAAAATGTAAGTCGGCAATTTCAATCTCTGTAAGAATGGACGCTGTAGCACTTAAATAGCGGCCTGTGGAATTTTTTTGAAAAAAAAAATATCGGCTCCAGAAGGTCGTAGAGCAACGCTTCTTTTAAAAATTCGCGTAAAAATGCCACCAATCGATTCCTGTATCCGAGAAATGAAAATCGAAAAAGATATTCAAGGAAAACACTACCAAAAAATTTTTACTTTTTTTCAGTCATATTTGAAATGAATAAAATCGTTATCACTCTTTTTTATCATGAAAGTACAACTCTTAAGGAAAAAATGAGCCCTGATTAGTTTCTCTACGACTATTCGTCGAGCAAGAAGAGCCGATTTTCGAAATGACCTTTTTTCGAAAAATTTTTAATATTCTTTAATTTTTAAAAAAGGCAATTTTTGCTAGGCGAGGCCTACATTACAGCAAGTAACAAGTTCCAAATCCTCAATTTGCAAGAGATACAGCAAAAACAAAAAAAGTCGACTTTTGACGGTTTTTCGATATATCTCGAAAAGTAATACAAATTCTTTTGACTTTTATGAATTGCTTAGGTTAACTTCGCCGTTTATGCGCCACAGGAAAAATACGCTACCTACCTTTCTTAGATTTTTTTTCCTATATCACCATATTTTTTGTTTCCAAGTGGCATTTTTTATAAGCTCTGCTACGTATTGATTGGACTTTAAGTTGATTATAAAACAATTGAATTGAAGATAATTTTGTTTTATCTTCTTGATGTTAATTTCTATTTTAATGTTTTTAAAAAATCCCACTTCTGATATTTAAACTACATAGGAGTTAGGCTATTATTATAAGCCGCATGATTACATGTTTTTCCGCAGCTGCAAATTATAGAAAATTAAGCAATATTATGTCATTTAACTTAATTTTCCTTTATTATACAAGAGTGAACAATTGATTTATGGGTTATGTTATTTCTGTATTCAAAAATACTGAATTTCCCATATTATTTTTGCTTTTTGCGTAAAACAAAGTTTGAGTTAATATATCTTCTAAAGTCATTAAAATATCCCACATCTGATATTTATCCCACTTCTGATATTTAAGCAAAAAAATCATAACTTAAATAGACTTCAATTTGCAAAGTATCCCAGGGAAACAATTATTTTAATAATTTATTTCCTTATTTCAAACCAAAATGGAAGAAATATTCAAATGAAACTGGAAACATGCAAAATATATTTTCGTTTTCACTCCAACTACGTCGGTTTTCGATAAAACCTGTTGATTTTCGGCAACTTGGACGGTTCAAGGTGCGAAATAAACAAACCCAACATCAAAATTGTTTATTAATAGAACAAAAGTTATCTACACTGAAAACGATATAATAATAAAAAAATACGACCAAATCATACAAGTTAAAATCCCTTAATCGAGTAACTGTCTCATTAGTAATAAAATAAACCCATAATATACTTATACGCGCCGCTGTCGCAGCAGGTACGTCCGGCATCGACGTCGTCTCCGTCGCCTATCGAAATCTGGATCCCAAACCGGCCCCCGCCGTCGCATCACCTCTTCCCCTTGCTCTTCTTCCACTTTCCGTAGAAGGTGGTGATCGATTCGATCGCAACGCCCGCCGACTTCGCCAGGCCGACGTAACTGAATTCCTTGTTCTCCCCGTTGGACAGGACGTTGTGGTTTCCGATCAGGAGAGTGACCACGTTGGACGCCCCTTTCTGCTGTTCGGCCAAGAAGTGGCAGCACTCGATTATCTGTATGTAAACGTGCATCTCCTTGTCTTTCTTCTTGGGGTATTTTATAAACGGAATGGGAGCGCGTTCCTGGTGGCGCTGCGCCCTGAAGAAGCGGTTGCCGCGCTGGAACTGAGACTCCAGCCAGCGGATGGCGTCGCGGGCCTCTATCTTCTCCCTCTTCAGGTCGTCCAGGGCGGAAACCACTGAAAAGGAGTAGTACAATAAACTTCGAGAACTGGTTAATTCCGCTTCTGATTATCTACTATCAATTTCCTTCAGAACTTTAAGAATATCCCACTTCTGATACCTAAACTACATCTAACATATCACTTAGAATTACTGACCTGCTGTTGGCACCAGGACGATGAACTTCCTGGAGTGCACCAGGTGCTTCACCATGAACGTGTACTTGATGAGGGCGTCGGCATCGAGCACCAAGTAGGGCGAGAGGGCGGCCTTGCCGCCCACGCGGCTCTCGAGGGCTCTCACCTCGGCCGCCAGCCACAGCTGGCCCATGTGCTTCATCTTGGTCAGCTGGCCGCCTTTGGATTCGTGGTGGTCGTCGCCCTCCGCGTAAGGGGGCTTCCCTACGAGAGGTCCGTTGTCTACCTCCTGAATCTCCTAAAAGAAAACGAATAATTTATAATTAAAGGCTCAGCTTAAAATTCCTCAGCTTCTTGTTAAGTCCTTTAAAAGATAAAATTATTCCCAAATCCCCTTGATCACAGGCATTTCATACGTTTTAAGCCGAATTATTTCGCCGAGACTTGAAGGCTTTCGGGCAACGATAAGGATACACAGAGTGCACGGTTACGGGGGAATTTTTAATGCTGTTCAGCGCAAACGATTGCGGAATTGTCCGTCTTAATTAAGACTAAACCCAGTCGCGATGCAGCGAGGCCTACAACTGTGAATCAGGCCTGAGTGCGCTGGTAAATAATTGCATTTGGTTTTTTACATGCTCCAAAAACAACTTGAAATATCTATTTGAGAATGTTTCTGTAAATTCCACATATTAAATCCTGCGCAAAGGTGACATGTAGATGTCAGTTACAGTTATGTGATAAAAAAAGTATCACTGATCCATGTTCAAGATTCGACCTTAAGGACATATTGAATAATTACTGCTATATAGTAATCGGGATTAGTAAAATAGTAAGAATTTCGTATAATGAAAAACCGAGACTTATACGCATTCGTCAAACCTGTCTCGAAAAGTTCAATTCAGAGTAAAAAATGAATGACCAAGTCTTTAGATTGTCTTAACAAGAATTTCACAATCAATTTTATAATCAAATGCTATGGATTTTTTGGATGAAAACAGTTTACTTTCCGATACATTTAACGGTAATTTATTATCATTACATCAGTTATTCAATACTATCAGCATGGGCGTAGGTAAGATTTTTGCTTGGGGTAGGCCTTGAGGGTGGTCCGCCGGCTAGTTCGAGCAAAAAGATGATATTATTGGACCGTTTTTTTTCTACACGCCTGACTTATCAGGTTATTTTGAAGATTAGCTCAATCATAATACTTGTTGATTTATAATACAATTTAAGGTAAACTGCATAAAATAAATATCCACAGTTCCTGTCACTGGCGATACTATTGATAAACATAAAAGGGAACATCTCAAGTATGACATAACAAATAACAAGCCAGACTTGAAACCACGATATTGTACGAATTGAAAAGGATTCGAAATATAAGACTGAAATAGATGTAACCAATCATCATGCACAATCATTACAAGATGCATGCATTGAGAGCATTTACATGATCAAGTCTATCAAATGCCTTAGAGAAAGAAGTCAATGTTTATAACATCTACCGGCCTTGTATAAAACCATGCTCTTCTAGGTTAATCTAATTAAATTTGTGATATGAAATATGGTTGTGAATGATTACTTCAAATACCTTATAGCTGTTTCACATTGACAATTTATTGACCAATTAATTCATGAAGTCGCTTCATCAAGAAATTGGACAAGTGTAATGCACCAAATCTGCTGTCAAATAACTTCATGAATTTATTCATCAGTTCTTGACGAATCAGAGCATGTTTCGTCAATTTCTTCGTGAAGTTCAGAAGTACCAACTCAACAAATTTCCAGCCTCAGATCAGTAATGAGGTTATGTTATTGGAATATGTAAATAATTGTGTGGCGTAGTACTAGTTTTGCATTGTTTTTACTGATTTGTTACTTACAAAAACTAATATTTATATAATGTGTCAGAACGGTGCCGCTGTTGTATTAATACAATTATATTTCGTATTGCCGTTCTCTAATTACAATAATTACACTTGTAGTTGCAATTTTTTCTGAGCTCTGGAGCACGAAGTTTAAAGCCGATTCTCTCCGCCACTGGGTCCCCGGTTCTCTATCGCCTCGGCCACTCGTCAATAGTCATTACAATTTTTTCGTGTGCTCTGAGAGGACGTATTATAGTGTGTGATTAAAAGTGTTAGTTCTTATAAAACATAATGGCTGACGATCGCAAATCAAAGAAAAGAAAGTTAAAAGAAATCTTACAAGATCTTTTGGAAGGCTCAAGTAAGTATTCCGCTAATGTTTTCCTTTGTTTTAGATTTCTTATAAAAAGAAAGAAATCCGACCTGTTGCAAATAATACCATATAGTAGGTACCTACTGGTCTACGAAATTATTTGCAGGTAAACAAATTTCCCACTGGAATTTTGTTTCCTTATATTCCCACTGGAATATTACTCTATACAGTTTTTCCACTGAATTACTGTCTTACATTTTCATTATATTCCCACTGGAATATTACTTTATACAGTTTTTCCACTGAATTGCTGTGAAAATGAGAATGAAATTATTGAAATGGAAATGTAAATTTTCATTATATTCCCACTGGAATATTACTTTATACAGTTTTTCCACTGAATTACTGTCTATTAAAGTTGAGCATCCCAGAACCAGGTCGGCAGCGTCTCACTAACGCTGTTAATATAAACATCTAGCTTATTTATGGTAAACATCACGTTCCCGCATATTCGTCGGATATACTTCCACATAGATTATCTTTAAACTGACAGTTGATAAACATTGTTGTCCATAGGCGACTCGGATATTTCTGGCGGTTCCCAGCACAGTGAAGATGACGATTCGGAAATGAACTGCCCCATCGCCACCCTAGTACAAGGCCAAGCAGTCCAACCACCTAATAGTTTGTTAGCGCTGCTAGAGAAGAGGGCACCGGAAAAATCGGGACCCGAAGTACATTCCGATATTTCAGACCTTATATCAACTTTTCTCACAAAAGGACTAGATAGCGAGGGACGGAAAATTACTCTTGAACAATATCATCCTTTAAAAGGATGTACTGCATTGAAACCACCAGAGATAAATGCAGAAATTAAGTCATGTTTGACGCAAGCAATGTTGAGACAAGACATCTTTTTGACAAAACTCCAAAACCAATTAGCGACAGTTGTAAGTGCGTTGGCTGTTCCTTTAAATGTCCTCTATGAAAAAATAAAAAACACCACCGCAACAACTCCTCAAGAAGATTTGGAAAAACTGGGTGACCCTTTGAAGCTGGTGGCAGACGTCTTTTATTCACTTTCCAATCATAGACGCTACTTAATTGTTCCAGCTTTAGACGACACTGTAAAGGATGTTCTGGATAGTTGTCCAATAGATTCTCTGCTATTCGGACAAAATTTCACAGAAAAATTAAAGTCGTCTACCGAAGCAAAAAAGTTTGGCGCGTCCATAAAAAAGAAATATAAAATGACACGTACAGGACCCGCCTCTTCCACAGCTTCACGTCTTTCTTCGCCCTCCAAACAAGTCGCCGGAACTTCAAAACGAGGTTCTCATTTTTTTCCATACCGCCAACGCCTGCCGAAAACTCGATACAGGAAGGAGGAGGAGAGGAAACAACATCCACGGAGGCGGCAATACCAGCACTAGACGAGGTGATCCAGACGGAAGCGGCAGTACCATCACTACCACAGGTGACGCAGCTTCATGCCGGTCGGCTATCTCTTTATATAAAACAGTGGTCATTAATTACTAGTGACGTAACTATATTGACATGGCTTGCAGGATACAAACTGCCTTTCGTAAAAAAGCCAGTACAATTACACCCACCGGATTCAGATNCTTCTTTGATTCATTGGTAGAACTGATTCATACGTCAAAAAACTTGACAAAGTCTGTAGCAGTGTAAAACCACACTGTTTACCAATAAATTCGTGAATTAATTCATGAAGTACTTCGTCAATTTATTGATGAATAAATTGTCAATGTAAAACAGCTATTATAAAAGTTATTTAAAATCAGCTAACAAAATCTCGTTTTGACATTTTTATGTACGTGTTGAAAGATACTCAAGTTACATATACAAAAACATTCCCATCCTTAGATACTGCCTACTTTTAATGTGTTTATATTTCTCAAGCCCATAAATTAAAATGCTTATAAACATACAGAGGTATATTGTAGCATTAAGCTTAAGAGATAATTTTTAGTTCTCAATCTGATTTGACAGAATAGATGTGATATCTGAATAAGTGAATAAACAATATCTTTTAATTATTAAAGTGTTTTAGTTCTACCCATAATCCCAACAGTACGGGTGTTGGAAATGTTTAATTTTTCAATATTAGATTAAACAGAATAATTAGATTAACAAAAATACCGTTCTTAATTTTTTATAGCATCTAACACTGATGTGGCTATTAATAATTGTGGGTCCTCTATATTCAAGTCATTATTTACCACAGTTCATGTGCCCTTTTAAATTAGACCACCCTCATCTCAACACTGTAGTACCCCTTATACAATTTTTAAATATTTATTAAAACATAGTGAGTAGTAACACCACTAAAGTGACGTCACGCGCAAAGCACTGAGGCCTTATAATCTACTCGATAACGAGTGGAGAAATCAGAATTGCACAACGAAACATTCCGAATTTTATAATCAACGCCTTTGTACACGCCGCCGTAAAAAGCGATTATCTCGTAACCTAATTCTAAGCTCCGGCCTTACCGGCCGACTCGGTCGCGCCTGTGGGTGGCGAGCGCCGGGATTATACAAACCGGAAGTGATGTAATTACGCGCATTTCGCGAAAATTGCCGTCGAAATCGTACCGGACTCATTTGCATCTATATGGATCGGAGAGCGCATTTTGCCGCACGAGCAACCTCCCCGGACGCGTTCCGAAGCAGCCCCCAGGACTTCAGCGTTGCCCCGCCCCACCCTTTCCCTTTTCCATAGGCGTCGGTGCCCTCAAGCACAAGAGTAAATACGTTGGAATATTAAATCGCGCATTTCTGAAATCTTGATTGGATTATTTAGAAATGAATACCAAATGAATCTGACAGTAGATTACCATGATGATGATGTAGGTGGTGATGATGTAGGTGATGATAATGTAGATGATTATGACGATGACGGTTGATGTTAATGTTATTAATATGATGATGATGTAGATAATGTTGATGATGCAGGTAATGATGACGATATAAATAATGATGGAAACGATGATGTAAATGATGGTGTAGGTGATGATAATTGTGATGTAGATGATGATGTGTTATGATGAAGCTCAGCGTAGCCTGGGAGAAAGGTCAAGTCTGCGTAGGAATGGTTTGAGAATTGTATAATTTACGTTTCACTAAATATGTCACTATAGGCTAATCGTAGCTTATATAATTATAAATTTCTTAGAAAATATACCTAAGTGGTGTATTCATGTCGATGAGCTAAAGAAAAGTATTCCTTGCGCGTTATTTCACTTGTTTCAATCTCATACCCCATTCAATGGAGAATTACTTTGTAGTAGTCCACCTGCTACTCAAATTTTTCGAAATGCAAGAAATTGATTAGTCCTTTTATAATATTTTTTTTACTAATAACTATTGTGGGTACACATGTCTGCAAGTGACCCATTTTAAGTATTACGTCAAGAGCGCCACCCGGACTGGTCTAACAGTTGCAAGGACAAAAAACAGACGCGGGACGAAAGAGGGTTCCAGAAAAGGTTCACGGCAGATTGGCGCCAAGGACCAGATACTTCTGCGAACGACTCCACACCAAAACGAACGGGAACGCTCACTCCGACAACACGTCTTTTTCACAAACTTTGTTTTCAATAAAAATACTTTTATTTTTACCGTCGAGAGCGAGTTTTATTTTGCTGCACACCGAAAGCAACCCCATGACATGGGTCCTAAACGCAACCATTTCCGAGAAAATAATTATTAAAATCTCTAACTTGATGTACAAAAGTTTGATTAATTAAGAAATATTGACATAACTGCGTGCATAGAATACCATAAAATACAATGTTTATCACTTTTTTTGAACTTCTTTATGCTTAATTATAAAAAATAATTAGCGAGGTAATAAATTTAAAATTTGATGAAACTCATATCAAGCAATGTGACAACGGCGCGGCGGATAATACGAGGTACTAAGCTGTCCAGCAATACGGAATTCAGTTGGTATCTGGAATTGGACTGTGCCTGAGTGTTTTTTGCATACCAATATTTCCTTTTCTTGGGGTGTTTTCCAGCAAGTGCGTGAAAATTGGATTCTAAGGTGTTATGCGTGCATCGAAAATGGTGGTGGACATTTTGAGCATATGTTGTAGTTTGTTTTGTACTTGTGCGTTTAAAAATTACTGAATTTTGCTTTTTGGTAAGTACCTAAATTATTTTTAATATGTACGATTATTTAGATGACGTGAATCTTAGGGTACTTTAATTACATATTTTTCAAATTCATAATTTGATTAAAAGTTAATTTTCTGTTTTAAGAGATATATAATTACTAAATGTTTCATAATAAATGTTTCATAATAATAATAGTTGTTTATATTTTTTCCATAGTCTGCTGCGTGCACACGCGGTATGCACCAGCTGTGTAGTGTTAGGTTAAGCGCTGTTGTCACGTTGTGATGAAACTCCCCAATATTAATACTCGCTGTATTTTGAAAACTGTTAATCTTACGCCCCTGTAATATACAACTTTTTTGTTAATTTATGATTACTCTATCTCATGCTGAAGTAATGACAATCAAACTTCTTACATCCTGTATAACGTTCATTGGTCAAATAAATAATAATACATAATAAAAACCGACTTCTTCGGCTTTTACCAACTCCTATCAATTTTAATAAGTTAATAGCGAAGTGTAGCAATTTGCGACGTTAACTTCGTAAAACACACAAGACGCCTTGGCTGAGACAACTCCGGCACCGTGTACAGATCGCTCCGGGTTGTCGATAAATAATTTAGCCGCCCTACTTACGGATCCGGTTTACTTCCCGTCAAAATCCGGGTGGATGTACCGGGGCGTGAATTTCTCGTTAGGATAGAGGGCCCCGTCTAAATTACGATCCCATTATGTTCATGCGTTCCGGAGTTTTCCGTAATTATGACACGGGGCAGGGATCCCTTATCGAGATAACCCGCCCGGGGTTGCTGCAGCTCTAATTTCAGGTGGTCTAATTTATGCGTCGATGTGCCGCAGTGCAATTTTACGGGACGGGATTTGATATCCAACCGCATCGAGTTATGGAAATCAGGCTACGGGAGGTTCTAACAACGTATTGCCGATGTATCGAAGCTTTTCAGTTTTCTTCTTAAAATCTGTTCAAGTTTCACCGCTTGATTATAAGGCCTCAACGCTTCGCGAGTGACGTCACTTCAGTGGTGGTAGATAATATAATGCTGAAGCTACATTTAGTTATTATGAACAAAAAAAATATACATTTAGTAAATATTTTCAATATAAGTTAGACCTGCGTCAGACCATCAAATTTGTTTTGTCAAAATAATTTAAAAACGTTACTTTGGCTTCACCATAAAATCCGATTAAACCAAACTCTTTTTTATTAATGGTTCTGTTTACTGCTTAAATGAAAAATTAGTAGAAATCAAAATAAATAGCTTTTGGGGCCATTTTTAGAATAACTTTTATTATTTTATTGAAAGTAATTTGATATCAAAGTTAATTCTGATTTTATCAAATTGATTTGATTAAATAAATTCTAATTCTAATATGGTTCCAAAGTATTGGTTTTATAGTCAGTTCCAAACAGTTCCACAGTATCACTTACAAATAAACTGTTTCGAAGATTTGTCCCAAGAAAATGTTCCAAAGTAACGGCTCTACCATGGTTCCAAAAGGTTTCAAAGTAAATTCAAAGGAATAATTCCAAAGTAATGGATCCAAAGTAACGGTTATAAGGAACAGTTTCAAAGTAGTTCAAATTAACAGTTCTAAAGTAACGGTTATAAGGAACAGTTTACAAGGAACAGTTCCAAAGTAGTTCAAAGGAATAGTTCCAAAGTAATGGTTCCTAAGTAACGGTTATGGAGAATCAGTTAGTAAATAACAGTAAGAGTTTGTCTGTATTTAACAACCATTTTCCGAAGTAGTTTTCAATTTTCATGTTCAGAATTTGATTTATAAACAGACAATAGTAATAATGTTAAACTAATAAACACAAATTACTTTCAAATACAAATTGATTTGGTAGCTTTAAATAATAGGGATTTTAAAAAATGTAATTTAAAAAAAAATGAAAACTCACCAAGTCCTCCATTATGGTCGCGGAAATCTTCTCCCCTTCGCCCTTCTCGTCCTCCTTGCAGGCAAACACGTTCCTATCTTCGTCGAAGGTGACCCCAGTCTCCTCGATGGTCGTGAGGAATTTCCCAAAAGAAATCAATTTGACCACCCTGACAACAGTCTCCTCTCTGACGGTGGCCCCCCTGGTCTGCGCGTAGTTCCAATCCAAATCTTTGTGCGCCTCTCCAAGTATCTCGACCCCTTTGAGGATCACATCTTCAGGCAGAGGCAGCTTGTTCTGCTTGTGGATGATCTCGGACAATCTCATGTTGACCCCGATCATCTTGGGACTGCCCAGGTTGATGTTGATGAGGTTCAGCAGGTGGGTTATCTGACGGATGAGGCTCCTGGTGTTGGTGCCGCAGGACTTGAGGACGTCGGGGTCGTGCTTGAGCCAGTCGTTCAGGATTTTGACGCTCTGCAAGGCCCCCTCTTCGGAGATGATCTCCAGCATGTCGTTGACGTCCATCATCTGGACCTTCTTGATGATATCTTCCTTGGTCTTGTTCTCGTCGGCGGTGGTCTCGGGCGATGAAGTGATGCCGTTTTGGAAGCCGTTCAGGAGGGGCTCTTTCGGGGTTCCGCAGTTCGATTCATCGGAAACCTGTTAGAGAAATTTTTTGTCAAGTATGGAGTTACTTCGACAAATGTTAAAGCTACGGTTTTTGACCCAATAAAATGTTCCTCGTTACAATAATTTGGCCAATTTGTTCTGACAGCAGTATTTGCAAATAACATACATGAAAATAATTTCTGTAATATTAAATATGAAAAGCCAAAAGTGTCAAAAATGTAAATGTAAAATTGGTACTTGAGTAAATATTAAATTTCCAAATTTGACCAATAAACTAGGTAAAAAATGTATAAGTACAGTAAGTAGGTTTTATCTGAGCTTAAGTACTTGCGTCAATACTTTACGTGATGATTTTATTGTGACCCCCACCAATGATTTACTCACAATAATTGATCAATTTTTCAGATTTCTTTTAATTATAGTCTTAAATATATGCATGCAAAGTATTATTTCAGAAATAACCAAAATCAGTATAGGTGTTCCCCAAGGATCTATATTAGATCCACCGTTATTTTTATTGTATATGGATGACATAGACATCTGTTCAATTTACTATTTATGCCAATTTATACCTTTAACTCCAATGTAACAAATAACTTGAAGTTATGTACGTACAATCTCATTTCAATACAAAGAAAATGTTTGCATTTTGTTATGTGATGATTTTAATTGTGATGCATATAATCCTACCAATGATTTTATTAAATTAAGTAATGATATATGATTGTCCACTAGACTTACTACAACACTCTATAATTTTTCAAATTTCTCTTATACTGGCCTTAAATATGTGTAAACTATTATTTCAGAAATAACAGTATCAATACATACATCAATACATACATCAATATAGGTGTTCCGCAAGGATCTATATTAGGCCCATAATTATTTTTGTTGTATGTATGTTTTTATGTACCTTTTAATAAATTACATCTAATTTACCGAAGACATTAAGACTCTAATACTTTATCTAAAAACAATATCTAACAGACAAATGTAAAGGCTTGAAGAATATTTTCATGTACAATGATTTTAAATTGAAATATTTTGTTTGTTTACATTCACTGTATTTGTGATATTTCCTGTGTTTGTGTTGGCTATTATTATAACATTATTAACTTAACCAGTTTTTTGGATGAATAATTGGTAAACAAGTTTCAATTATTTGCTTCGACTATCCAAATTAAATGAATTTAAAAATTAATGAACCATATTTTGCAGCTGTAAACACATTCTGGAATTATTTTATTGGCCACAAGTTAACAAAGGAGGATGTGTAATATAATTTGCACTTTCACGTAAAAATGCTTTATCTTCACATTAGCAATTAAATATAAACCCTATAACGCTTACGAATACCATAAATAATTCATAAGAGTGATGCAAACAAACGTCTAAGTAGGTAGATATGATAATAGCAAACAAACAGGATATCAAGTTCACGCAGTCATGTGTTGATGTTTCCACTTACATATTTACTTGGTTTTATTTTTAGATAACAGAAAAATGCGTATGCTGGGACAAATAACTTGGAACAGGTTGTCAAATGTTATACCGAGAGATTTAAATTGCCCCTCATTACTCATCGTTGCACAATTCTGTTTAATAATAAGCCATAAAAGATCTGGTCGTTCTGAATTGTATAATCAAATTTTTAACTAGATACGTCTTGTTTTTAAGTTATTCTTTAGATTGCAATATAATAAATTTTTTGTTGTCAAGGTAAACTTGTCTACAGGGTCGGAAAGTCACCATGGTTCATCGGCCGTGACGTGATAAAGAAAGCAATAGAAATCTGTGCGATAGAGAAAGATAGCTATAATGAAGGCGTCTAATAGTCACCGCCCATTTCGCCCTTCCACAAATAAGAAGTGTGAAGTGAAGAAGATCTTATTTGTGGAAGGGCGAAATGGGCGGTGACTATTAGACGCCTTCATTATAGCCATCTTTCTCTATCGCACGGATTTCTATGACTTTCTTTATCGCTCTCACGTAAAGGCCGATGAACCATGGGGACTTTCCGACCCTGTATACTACGCTACAGTCTATAGAAATGGGTAAAATCACACTGCAGAGGCTCTCATAACAGAATGTCATAAAAACTTTTTGTTTTCTAAATCTTTTGATAATGCAATATTTCGTCCTTGTTCTGATTTACTAAAAACAAGTATCACATATAATTTACAAGAGGAAAATAAGAATATGTACATACAAACAAGTAAAAAGAAATTATGGAAATACAATTTCTGATACGATGGAACAACTATTAAAGGAATTTTTTTTTTATACGACAAAGCAAACTGGTTCCAATTACATTTCAATTAAAATTTATGAAATAAATGTATGTAGTGTTAATGTTAATGATAATGAAGGGTATATCATCTGGCAGTTATATTTATAACCTTTCCCATCTTGACGTGTTCAACTAGAATTATTATAGATTAGACGTAATTACTAAACTGTCCCCCACAAATTGCCTTTTGAATTTGAAGAAATGTATTCGTTTAAAAATGAATCAATAACCATGAAATTGACATTTTTGTTCATGTAATTTTTTCCTTGAACGGAGAGCAAGGTTTTTATTTCACTACAGAAAATTAACATTATTTAAAATTCCTGCGTAGTACCGACGTTTATAATTCTTCATTATAATAAGTTCTTATAAGAACTAAAAAATAATGATTTAAGTTTATTGAAGGCCAATGGAAGTTTTTTTCGCAATTAGAAATAATTGTATTAATTTATGCACTGCGTAACAAATATTTTTGCAAGTTTTGAAGTCGTAGATGCGCATGAAAATTAAATAAATATAGCGTTTCAACTTTTTATTAAAGGCAAATTACAGGTTCGATTTTAATTTAAACAATCTTTAGAAATAGATACTTAATTTATGAAAAATTAAGGATTGTTTGTATACAGGGTGATTCACAAATGGTGACCAAAAATGAAACTTTGTAATCTTTGGCGAATTTTAAGGGGTCTTTCCTATAAAGGTTTTATATAGGACGCTTCGTTAAAAAGATACAGGGTGTTAAACTTCAAAAAATATTTTTAATTTTTTTAAATAATTTAAAAACTAGTATGTAAGTGAAATAATTTGAAATTGGGCACATGTATTTATGTAAACATTTTTCAAAATCTGAGGGCTTTTTCTAAAATTTGCATGCTCCAGTGGTAGAGATACAGGGTATCGGTGGCATATTTTCCTAAATAAAATAGTACGCCACTGCTTTACGGTAATAATCATGATATTTTCAGATTCCTCTTTCAATTTTCTTCAAATTAGTACTCTCTTATGTTTCAAAAAAAGCATGATTTTCGAGTAAAACTTAAAAAATCAACTAAATACATGTGCGCAATTTCAAATTATTTCATTTACCAGTTTTTAAATTATTTAAAAAAATTTAAAATATTTTTTTAAGTTTAACACCCTATATCTTCTAGCGAAGCGTCCTAGATAAAAACTTTATAGGGAAACAATCCCCTATAAATTCACCAAAGAATACGTTTCATTTTCGTCATCATTTGTGAATCACCCTGTATATAAGGTGGTTTCACTTTAAGTACAGAAACTGCCAAAAAAATAAGAGTTTGCTCTATATACTTTTTTCTGAGGGATGCGGTATTCGAGATACAGGGTGTAAAGTTTACAAAAAAATATATCTTCTGTCATATCTTCATAAAGCGCTGACAGAATTGAATCAAATTTATTACCGTGTATTTACTTAATTAGACTAAATAATAATAAAAGTATTTATTAAAAACATTTCGTAGTTAATTGCAAAAAATAAAAAAGGTATAGCCCCACTATCAAATAACACTTAAATCCAATATCAGATTGGGAATAAAAAATAAAGTCGTCCATTTATATTAAGCAAAGCAACGCCTTGAATTCATGGAATGCTCCGTATAATAAAAATAATAGAATACCTATGTAGAAATTGTTGATGTTACTAAAATGGGCTAGAATAAATGGGATACCCTGTATAACAAAAAATAATTTTAAAATGTGTAGAAATTTATTGGAGACGACTTTTATTTGGAATGAGTTTATTAAGAGATGTTATTAATATTATTTAGTTTATTAATTATTATTATTTACTGGAGAGCTTTTTTATATTGAAAATTAGCAGATTTTCAAAAGTAATCATTTTTGTACTTTGTCAATGCATAACAATTTCTACTACACAGACTAAAGGCAATCGCAACACCTTTCACATGAAAATATTTTAAGTATTGCCTTTTTTTATTTATTTGTGAAAAATAAAGCTCCATACATTTTTCAAAATCATTTTATTTAACAATCAATGAAACATTTTGAATATCTATATTGAATTAAAACATTAAAAACATGTTTATTTAAATATTGAGAAACAGTGGCGGCGCGTGAACATTGATTAAATGTGTTCTGCTTAGGATTGTTACATTTGTTGAATTGAATTCCGGGATATTAAGTGCCCGGAAAGCCTGTAAATGGCGCCGCAGGCGAAAAATTTTAAAATTTTCAAGGTCACGCGTTTTCCTGGCACTTCTGAATTTCAAGGAACAATGAATTTATACAAAAATACAGATCTTCACAACGATTTTTGAAATTGATACCTTTTTGAAATATCTATTCACGAATTACCTACTGACGGTATAAATAAATTGGAATAAACTAAATATATTTTATTAAATTATTGAATATTGTTTATAAACAAAAAAATCGTTTGTGAA